AACAGGCACCCTGCGGCTTTGTTTTTTTTTTTTGTGCAAAATCAAATGGATCAATTGTAAGAATCCTCTACGTACTTATTGCGAAAATTCAAATTTCTGCGATACTTACGTACAGTGAGAGGTAAACTTTGTGCAAATAATATATATATATACAGATTAAATTCATTATAGACGAAATATTTAATGTTGCTAAATTTGATTGCCAAGCTAAAACAATTAATTGAAAATATATTTAAACAATTGTCTAGAGCCAAATTTTTTTATCCGTCCTTAAACAATACTTATTTTACATACGCAATGAGATATTTGCAGGAATTATTAATGGTGCATTAGATGAAATGGAGTTTTAAACATTCCTTGGCTTTTTAGTTAATTGATTAATTTAAAGTTTTCGTGACAATTCATAATTCTTATGCGCATGGTATGTATGAAACCTTGAGGGAATTTAATATTACCAAAGGTCAACATTTAATTTACGTCAATGTTTTTCAAATTATCCAATTTTCAAATTCCTATTAACTTAAATTAACTTTCACTAATTTACTTAGTGAAGAGACTAATCAGAACTCAATTATAAATAGATTCTTAAATAATTACACCAAGATTTTTTCTTAGAAAATCTATAATGAGTATTTTTAATATTGGCATAAAAAAAAAAGCTCTGAGTTTTTAATATAAAGAGATGTTAAGTCTTAGTAGATTGTAATTCAGGATTTGTTCAGTGAGATGAAAGATAAGAGATAAAATTATTTGCTTCTTCGAACCTCATACCTGCATTAAATGATCTTTGCATATCCTATTAAATGCGATGTTCGAACTTTGAAAAATTAAGATTATAGTACTTCTTAGTGAGTATATTATTCAATTTGATTACTCACTATGAAAATTTTATAGTGGAGTATAAAAATTGTGAATGTAGATAATAATGTATATTTTTAAGTTGTAACTTTTTACTGTCAAAGCATAAAAATAAAGAGAAATACTTTGTTGCCATGATGGTTTAAACAAAAATTCATTCCATTAAATTAAAATTTTATCGATTTATTTATAAATTGAACTTTCGTAGATTATTGCTTATAAATGTAAGATCCAAAGATCTTTAATCGATAATAAACAAATAGGAGCAATTGCTTAATTGATTGTGAAAAGTGGCATTTATCTTTTTCAACAAATACATTTCTATACGATCCACGTGAAAGGCTACGTCATTAATTATTCTATGTCTATATAAAATAAAATCTAATTTATTTATTACCCAGACGCCTAATGTTTAGCAATTTGTTAGTCCCGATTCGTGTATATCGGTTCTTACTATTAAACAATTAACTAAATAAATAAATAAAATTGAAAATGCGGATGTGATTTACTAATTTACCGATAAAACTATTAATAAAGAACGAAAAGGAAATCAAATTAATTTTATTTGTTTTTCACGTATAAATATTTATACACAATAATTGCAAAGAAATAATAAATCATAAAAATGAAATTAACGATTGAATTACGAAAATTTAAACAATATTTTTCAGAAAAATACCTATTGTTATTTCTTTAAAAGAATAATGAGACTTTTTTCAATTACCTCAATAAAAGTGAAGTATATACTTTTAATGAAAAAATGTTTTTTTTTTTTTAAGCAGATTTATTGCAGAACAGACGAATTATCTATTTTACAAGAATAATATGCTTTTCTATAATGAATTTTGTAGAATCTCAGAAAAATCGATAATACAGGACTCAATTTGAATTTTCTTATCTAACAAACATTATCAACGTATCGAGGAAATTCTCTCTCTCTCTCTCTCTCTCGCTCTCTGTCTCTCCTCTCGCATGTTCTCAAAAAGGAAAGAAAATACGTGTAAATATCCAACCACGATCAAGGTTTCCATGCCTGGCGATGTATGTGTGTGATGCATCATTCTTAAAGGTAACCTCATAAGAATGATGTGGGGGGGGGGATTTAGATTATACGACGCCGTTTTATCTTGGAACTTCCCCTCTACTCTGCCTCGTGAAATTAAGCTCCGCCGCATTTTCTCGACTCCACCGGTACTTTCGGCATTGATAAGGCTCTTGGGGTGGGGCAACCGTCTCCTGCCGGAGATGATATGCGATAACGGAAGGGTGGGGTAGTGGGTCGGTGGGTGGCAAACGAGCGACCCCAAGTTTGAGAAAATGCGCGCCTCTGCGAGGGTAGAAAACGTGAAAGATTATACGGATGAGCATTTTGCAAACCGGCGCGAGTGAGATATGTTCTCGCGAATGGAGCGGCACTTATTTACGTTATACACATTTAGGATTCTGAACACATTAACCATACATATTGTATGTAAGCCTACACGTATATATGTATATATGCGCATAATTATTTATATGTGTGTGTGCGTATGGGCGTGTGCGCGCGCGTGCGTAAACGTAAATATGTTTATATATATATATATATATATACATGCCTATTGCATTAGCATTATTTTGTATATAATTGAACACGTCACGGATATTCGAAAAACCATCGATAAATGTATATATGGATATGTGCACATGCATTCATGCCTGAATGTGGCTAAGACTGCTGTGTGCACCGATTCGTGTGTACGCATGTGTGTATACATATATAAATAATAATAATAATAATACCTATTTACATCCGTTCCAAATATTTACGCCTTTCCTATCTCCATTTCCTGCGCCATACAACCATGTAAATAATAACATCGAGTTATATAAATAGAAAATATTTACTGTTTAATAACAAGATAAAATAGCATTCTTTTTTTATTTTTTAAAGTAGCCATCTGAGCGACGCGGAGTCGATTTCAAGTTGCTTAAAAGTAATAAAAAACAATTTACTGACCTAATTTAATATTACGACGTATTACCTTCAGAAATACAATTTTATTATTTATCGAATACGAATTTTTAATAATTAAATTACTTGTTATAAAAGTACTTGTAATAATATATGAATTATAATAAAAATGTTTCTCTAATGAATTATAATTATAATTAATTGTAATATTATGACTACCTGTATATATATAATATATATGCTGGGCAATAAATGAAATTGTTATTATAAAATACTAATTGGTTATAGTTTAATAATTTAATGCTAATAATTTTGCCTCAACGAGTTGTATTCAAATAGATATTATCATGAACATTAATATTAATATTAACAAACGCTTACTTTTTGCTAATTCACTTTTAATTTTATATATATTTTTTATAGACTTATTTCTTTCAGTTTTTATAAAAATTCTGTAGAACGATGATTTTAAATGTCATGATTATAGATATCATTAATTTTAATTCTATTCCAGCAATTCTTCTATTCTAATAACATAATGGTAGTTGTATTAGTGTTAGTAGTTTTTAATAATGACAACAAAAAATACATTATTTAGTGGCTAAAATTTTTAGTTTATTTATTCGATCGAATTGCATGAAAATGCCTAAATATAATGTAATTCCATCAGATTTAAATTATCTCCGTTTAATGAAATTTTATTCCTTATCGTTATTATATTGTCCATAAATAAATGTCAATTAGGCAAACAATTAGAATCATTTGAAATTTAGCTCATAATTTCACTACTAAAATTTCTGTTTCTTTTTACTATTATTCAGTTTCAATATTATTCAATACGGGATTTCAAGTTACACAGTACAACTTACAATACAATCACATTTATTATAGATTTTTATATACTTTATAATGCAATTTTCCTCAAGATTCTACAAGATTGTACAAACAAAGAGCATTTTTAAAACAAAAAAGTATAATAAACAAAAAAAAAAAAAAAAAAAAAAAAAGGGATAGAAAAAATAAACCAGAAAATAAAGGAAAAAATTCAAAATAACAAGTACACTAAAGTAGACTGAAAACGAATATGGGATATTGGTTGAATAATACAATCAAATCTTTTTTTTGAACTAAAACGATTTAGTTTTTATACGTCAATAGAGAATAACTTTTTTTTCTTTTCTTTTTGTATCATTGACAATAATAAGCTGTATAATTATAATTAAAAAATTTTATTTTTATTTTATTTGCTTCTCTACATATACAATTTAGTAGCTTGATTTTTCATGAAATTTTGTTACATTTTCGTATTATCAGTAAGTACTACCATTAGTTTATCTAATTTAACAATAACTTTTTAAAATTCATGATTTTATCGAGCATATTTTGCTTCGATTTGTAAAGGTTTTAATTTGTACTAATTGTACTAAAAAATTTTTTATTAAACGTGCATTTTCATTATACTGAAATTAATACCATAAGCTACGCAATGACATTTTGTACAACAATATTTGAAATAAATATATTTTTTTAAATAACAGTAAAATATAGTACTGTAAAAATTTACATATTGATCACCAAATTGCCAGACCTTTCATTTCGTCTAATTTCAATAATAAATAAAAAAAAAATAAAAAAAAAATCATTATCTTCTGTTCCAAGCAACAGTCAAACAGTCCAAAATTTTGTTTATTTATCTTCACATTCTCAATAGGCATATTATAAATATAAATGTCGTTCTCTCTAGGTATTTGCGTCCGATAAATTTAATCGAAAATCTCCTCATAATCTATTTCCACATACTGATTTAAGTTAGCAAACTTTCAATAAAATTCGGCCTTCGTCTATCATTTATTTATACATTATTTTTTCGCGCGCGACTAAACAATGCCAATTTCATAATGAATTCACATCCGTTGCTTTCCCCATATCTTGCAATTTATAAATAATTTATGTGGGCTCGAGGTGCAACGAAAATTATCCATTAAGAATGAAAAGTGTGAGCACGGGATACGGGGAGAATGGATTGTTGACTCCTTAAAATCGAGCTTAATAAGAGCTCGAATAAACTAGGAAAATGTCGCCTCTCAATTGGCCTGCCCAATAACGCCGATAATACGAATGTAATAAATTGGTCTAATAAAAGGCCGCATCGGACTATAGAAATCCCAGGAGATGGGGCAGAAGAAGGAGCTTAGGCATCGTGAGCTTAGGCGACCAACGAAGGCTGCTTCCGACGAAGGGCCGCGGCCGTCGCATTGGCCTTGCGACTTATCACGTACTCGTCCTCCTCGTCGTCGATGTATTGATAGGCGTAGACGCTCGCCGAGGCTGGATCGACGATGGAAATCGGTTGGTTATCGTCGGGAGCGTCGATCGACTCGAGCACGAGACTGTAGTGCTCGTAGATGAGGAGGTCGTCGCCGCGCGGACGCGAGATCAAAAGCTCGTTGAAGGTGTAGGAGGCGAAGTTGGTGTCGGAGAGGTGCATCGCACTGTCCGAAGATATCTGTAGACAATCAGGGAGTGGATTTAGAATCGGCTGCTGGGCGAGTTCAAAGGCACATTATGTCACTATGTACTTTACGAGTCGATAAGACTTTTGCGTTAAGGACGCGAGGAGATTGTGCGGGACTAGTTTAATAAGATAAATGTCTCGTCGCCTTGTGAAATAATTCAGGCGAATGGTCATCGGTCCAGGGCTTTGATTTTCCCTGCAAATTCTATTCGCGGCAATGGATATCGATCGCTGAATTTTCGATAATTTTCAATATAATTGTGAAGGACGAAAGGCTAATAATCGTTAATAGATGGAATGGTGGTAGTTTCGTCGGTAAGCCATTAGCCGAAAGCCTACGCGTTCGTCGGTGTATTTGCTCGTAATTTAAAATTATTTTTGGTTCTACGGATACTTGACTTTACTCCATTTCTGCAAATACTGGGAGGATTTTGACAATCTTTTTCATTTTTCATCGATGCTTGGAATAATATTTAAAATTATATATCATTCATACGTATAGCTTCTATTAGCTTCTTACCCATACATCGGTACTTCTTCATAACATTATAGTATTATTCACAATTTTCTGGAAATAAAATACGTCTTTAACGTAATAAAAAATTTTATATTATAAAGATGCTTTTTTGCATTAAATATAAAACTCGAATGAATATTGATCCATTGCCTTGCTTATTTACATATTTAATTTTGAATATACGAAAAGCAGAAAAACGATACACATTGTTTAGATAATAATATAGTCATAATAACCTTTATGTTTGCGCAATTTTTTATATACCCGCGCGCGCGCGCGCGCGTGTGTGTATGCATTTAAAGTTTTAGAAATTTGAAAAATATTTTGAATAGTATCGAATGTCGATTATGGACATGCGTGCGTATATTTATTGGTCTTTTACGTATATGTATATTCTTAAAAGCAAAATAAAAAATTCAAATAACATTGTTATATTTATAAATAAAGAATTAATCATTAACGAAGTAGCAAGGATTATTTATTTTAAGAATATTGCTTAATTTTAAATATACATGGAATTTTTAATTTATTATAAAATTAGTATTAAAGGCTGGAATTAAAATTAAATTTAAAAGCGAACTTAAATATTAGTTAATCTCATAAAATTCTTAGTAAAAATATTTAAAAATACAATTAATGCAAATGTATAAATTTGTATGTATAATGTCTTTTAAAATTGTATATTTACATTATTTTTATAAATTTCCATTTTATCTTTTTTTTTTCTAACTATTACTTTTTTTGTTTAGAAATTATAATTATGCGTTACAAATGTATCGAGAAAACGTATGAAAATCTGATAAATAGTAAAGTAGACGAAAATCTACTTTTGATGATGTTCGACGCATCAGTGAATTTTGTTTTATTTTTGTTGTTGTTGTTGTTGTTGTTGTTGTAATATTAATACGTCATTTATTCTCTTTTATTAATATAATTAATATAATTAATTCAAATTAAATGTGAGCACAAACATTTTCCAATTTAGCTTTACATACATAATGCGCACTATATTTGATTTCCGTATTCCGTACTTTTTATTTATTACTCTTTATCTTACTCAAAAATACGTAGACGAAAGTCACTATTTACTGACCTAGTTGAATTACTTTTTAATAAAATAACTTGTGAAATCTACAGTGAATTATGTTCTATTTTATTGTTATTTGTGAAATTATGATGAATATATTGAAATCTTATTCATAAAAATTCTGGCGGGGTGGGGGACATTTAAATTTTACACGGGAATAAAGATTTTCACTACAAATATTTACGTGTACACATACACGTATATATATATATATATTATAAATATTTTTAATTCATACATCAATTTATATGTTACTAATATTATTTTAAATTAAATTTATATATCATCGTTATCAAAATTATGAAAATTATACTTTACTTATATGTAAATATTTATTAAAGAATCTCTGTTATTTAAATATTATTCAAATGCATAAAACGATGATTCAAATTAATTTTTCATCTGAGAGAAATATCGTTGTATCAACAAAATTGTAAGCGATGAATTACTCTTCTCAGAGAAAAATAACGATTGCAATAGAGATGAGTACTGTACTAAAACTTGTATGTTTTTGTTTTATAGTATCGATCTTTTGTACTTTCATTGTCTCCCTTTATCTATTTGTTAAAAAATGTCCTAAAACCATTTATATATATATATATATATATATATATATATATATATATATATATATATGATCATGCATTCTAATTGAATGTTTTTTAAATTAAAAATTTGAAAAAATTTTTATCATACCATCGTGAAATACTTACTAATGAATATAGCAAATTATTTCAGATAAATATTTAGTTTTTTTTTATAGTTTAATTTTTTTCAATATCAGTCATATCTATATCCTTGAATAACTGAATTATATCAGAGATATATTTCAGCGAAATAATCCTTCGTGGTACTAACTATTAAATTGAAAAAATAGTCTTTTATTTAAAGGCTTGTAACTTCAATATAACAATTTGAGAGCAAGTTATGTGTCTATTACGAACGACATGACTTACAGTCTCTTTTTATATTAACTATGATTATTAGTATAATAAATAGATTGGTCTCATATACTAGTGGACTATTAGTTTTATAAATTTCGACAATAACATAAGGTATTATATATATTTTTTGTTTTAGTTTAAACAAGTTTGGCGTAGATATTAGGAATCTTTTTCTTAATAAATTTAAGACGGCAATTATTTTATATTATATTATATACTTTATATTATATTAGGTAATATTGTAGTTACATTTCTGCAAGTATTTCATCAAATTTTTTGTGAAGTATTTCGTTTAATATATTGAACTCATTGTTTTTAAACAAACTAATCGCAATGTATCATTTTTAATTTTCTCCAATCATTATTTTAATAGTGTATTTATATTTTTAATATATCTTTTAGTTTAAATGAAAATTGATATAGGATATATATATATATATATATATATATATATATATATATAATTTATTCTGAATTTGATTTTAATATAGTGCACTGTTTAATTAATTTTAGATATAATGAATGGAAATTTTTTATTCGATATTTTATATAAAATCCTATAAATAAGAGACGAAATATATTTAGAAAAATTAAAAAAAAATCTATACTTTTGGTATAGTGATTTATACTCGTTCTCTTATGAATATTTAATTAGATTTATTGCATGTTAGAATAGTATTAAAATTTTATTAAATGTTCAACTATCTTTTAGTTTTAGTTAGTTGAAGTTTTAATTAGTTGAATAGAATTATAAATGCTAAATTTCAAATTATTTACTTAATTATTACAATTTTTGTAAGCTATAATGATTATATAGTCAATGAATTCGTTATTAAAAATAAATTCAGTACTATTTATCACTAATAATGTTATATTGATAAATAAAATATTTGTATACGATATTATATCAGTTTATTCGAAGAGTTTAATTTAAAATTTATTTCCATATATATATATATATATATATATGTGTGTGTGTGTGTTGTATTATAACTTATTATGATGTTCTTATTAATTAATCTTGTACATCGTTTTATTATTTAACTTATTGTTTTTTCTATTATTTATCAGACATTATTTTATAATTTTGAATGCGATATACTGTTTCACATGCCATCTGTCATACAATTATTGAATAAACAGTTTTTGGATCTGTTCTGAGGCCCTCGCGACTCCCGAAATATCTTTTATTATGCTTACATGTATTTTTGTTTAATTTTTCTTAAAAAAAAAAGGAAAAAAAAGAAGAAAAAAAATGCATATCATCAATATCCTCTCAAATATATTTGGAATAAGATTTAGTATTTTGATTTCTAATATTAGCGTGTAAAGAAAAATATGTAAAAATGTGAAAGTAAATAACTATTCTCCTTCTGTTATTTTGTATAACAATCGTTGACTATGTATTTTGTGTTACAATCTTGTTGCAAAGGAAATTTTTAAAATTTTTTTCATCTTATAAAAAATGTATAAATGTACTTTTAATACAAAACCTATTCTTCATATATAATTCATATTTTTTCAATTAATAATTTTTTCAATCTAATATAATCGAATGCATATTCAAATAAATGATTTACAAAATGTTTTATTTTATTATGCACACTGTATATTCTTCCATAATTTAATTTAATTTCTATAATAAAAAGTATTCTTATAAATTAAATTTATAATTATTCAACCTATAGTTACACTCAAATTATTAAAAATTTACCAGAAACTCAACATCCAGGTATAGAAAAATTATGAATAACATTATAATCATAAATTATAATGATATTATAATGATGAACACGTAATGTATGAGGTACAAATTGAAAAAAATATGTCTAATTAAATACATAATTAATGTGGTAATGTAAATATGGCTTTTTCCATTTTCGTTATGTAGAAAGTAATAAGCTTAACGAGGGTAGAAACGAGAATTTTCAACCTCGTTTTATTAGTCGAATGAAACAAAAATTACAGTGATACGTTTAGACTTTCGTCATTCCCCGGGACAGAATGCTAAAAGGACGTGACCAATGGTCTTCAAGCGTTGAAAGTTATCAAAAGTAAAAGTATCGATTTTTATATCGGGAACTTACGATCCTAGATTCGAAGTTGGATGGATCTGTTCTGAGGCCCTCGCGACTCCCGAAGAAATAATCCGCTCTAAGGCTGCATTTGTGTACGTTCCGCCATTTCTCCAACCGCATCGTTTCGCCCTTCTTCCTGCTCAAGCTTTCTAAGCCACTCAGTTTGTAATCGTCCTCCCACGAGCCGTCCATCTTAGTCTCGTTGGCCTGCGAAGTCATGGTTTGAGGCACTTGCTATTGCTATGTTAGTGAAATTTCGATGGCTCTATGGGCGGGAGGGGCGAGAGGGGAGGAGAGGGGAGTAGGAGGAAGCAAGTGGTTGGTCGCGGTTAGTCCAAGCTTGCCCCAATAATTTTTAACGACTTTTTTGTTTATAATTGATCTCTGAATAATATGCGCTGGATAAAGTGATGATCGGTGGCAGGAAGGAAGTAGGAAGGAAACGGTGAAATGACTTATCAGAATAAATTTGAAAAAGATGAGATAACGTTTAAAAAGATGGGATTGCCAAAATGGTGACTATTTTAGTAATATTGATGTAATAGTATGATTTATCATTTTGAAATGTTATAATTAGAAAGTCAATAATAAATCATGACTCAACTTTCAGGATTATTTTCTCTCTTCTCTGTGCGTGCGCGCATACAACTGCATCGAAGCACGCGCGCTGAGAGAGAGCGAGAGAGAGAGAGAGAGAGAGAGAGAGAAATGTCAGGGCAGGTTCGCATTTTTACAACGTAATGAGGATAGATGTTACAAAGAAAATTGAATTCTATCAAGGATTTCTTATAAATTTTAGTATTGATAATGAATAAGAGGAATAAAAGATTTCTTCATTGCTTCGATCAATACCAAAGAATTGATATGCTATTTCTCTTTTGGGAAATATCTATAATATTATAGTAGAGTATTAGAAATCAATTTTTTTTCCTATCATTATACTTATCGAGTGTAAAATTGTTTATGTTATTAAGTTGGATCGATCAATGTTAAATAATATATTAAAATACACAATAAAATCTAATATATATATATAAGAAAATATTATGTTAAAGGAATTATTTGATCAAATATCTACTGCGAAGGATATATAGATATATATATATATATATATATATATATATATATATATATAAATATTATTAAATTAAGAAAAATTGAATTATTTTTGAAACACGAGGTAATTATCAGGATGAAATTCGATAAAAGTAGAGAAAAATTTTGTCATTAATTGTATAGCTCTGGGCATCATTGAATTAACGTATAATATTTTTGCTATAAACAAAATTAAAATACAAATAGGCAATTGTGCCATTGATTTTAAGATTTATGTCTCGACTAGGATCTCCTGAATTGTGTTAGTCGTTAAATAATTAAGTCGACAAAATAACTAATCAACAGAGCCTTCATTTTCCATTGACAATACCTGCACGATTAAAATCTTAAGAGATCGTTTCAGTAATTAAAAACATCGAATAATTAAGTTTCCGGTATGCACGTGCACAAGCGATAGTATTTAGCATCGGCTAATCCTTTTAATTTAGAAGCACTAGGCCAATAATCTTCGTAAGCCTTAGATTTATCGCAAGCTTAATTTTTCACCTTGGAGCAATCGCTCGCTACCGCCGTTTATAAAAGCCAATCGTTTACTTAAATTCCTGTCTCGAAGCGTTACGGACCCGTACAAATTACCCCTAACGAGATTGGCATGCGCAGCCGAGTGGATCGAGGCCGATTTTAAGGGTCCTGTTTACTGACCGTGACGCCGGACGAATTCTTGACAATGTGATAGGTCGTGTCGCACTTGCCAATCACCGATTTCTCCATCAGCCGGAACTCGGCATCTCGATTCTTGGCGATGTTCGCTCCAACGTTGAATTGATTCACCACTGCGCGTATGATGTTGAGATCGGCGGGACTGACTGTGCGGTTCACAAGGATCTTGCCGATACCGTTGGGAGTGAAGGTAAACTCAAAGGCCTCCTCGGCGATCTGATACTCGGCGTGATTTTGGAGGCTATCGGGCAGCGGCTCCGCCGGCACCCAAGGATCAACGGTTGTCGAGGCGAAGCTGACCTACGAGATTCAAGCGTTAAATACGTTTTCTCGCCTTTTTTTATTCCTTAATCCACACCTTACCCCCCCCCCCCCCCCCCCACACCCCCACC